AATCCCATTTTTCCCTGACCCAATCCCATTTTTCCCTGACCCAATCCCATTTTTCCCTGACCCAATCCCATTTTTCCCTGACCCGATCCCATTTTTCCGTGACCCAATCCCATTTTTCCGTGACCCAATCCCATTTTTCCCTGACCCAATCCCATTTTTCCCAACCAAATCCCATTTTCCCTGACCCAATCCCATTTTTCCGTGACCCAATCCCATTTTTCCCAACCAAATCCCATTTTTCCTGACCCAATCCCATTTTTCCCTGACCCAATCCCATTTTCCCTGACCCAATCCCATTCCCATCCCCCACTCGGCCCCTTCCCCGGTTTCGGATTCCCAGGAAAAGCTGGAAAAACGGGAAAATCCGGAAATTCCGCTCCGAGTTCCCGGACTTTGACCCCAAACAACGCCCGGGGGAGGAGCCGGGGGCGGAATTTTGGGAAAGATTCCCAAGAAAAATAGGAAAAAATCGCCCTGGGATTGTTTGGGGGAATTAATTTGGGTAATTAATTTGGGTAATTAATTTGGGGGAATTAATTCGGGGTAATTAATTCGGGGGAATTAATTCGGGGGAATTAATTTGGGGGAATTAATTTGGGGGAATTAATTTGGGAAAATTTGGGATAATTAATTTAGGGGAATTAATTTGGGGTAATTAATTTGGGGGAATTAATTCGGGGTAATTAATTAGGGGGAATTAATTTGGGGTAATTAATTCGGGGTAATTAATTCGGGGGAATTAATTTGGGGGAATTAATTTGGAATAATTAATTTGGGGGAATTAATTTGGGGGAATTAATTTGGGAAAATTTTGTATAATTAATTGGGGGGAATTAATTTGGGAAAATTTGGTATAATTAATTTGGGGGAATTAATTTGGGGGATTTGGGGATATTTAATTTGGGGTAATTATTAATTTGGGGTAATTAATTTGGGATAATTAATTTGGGAGAATTAATTTGGGAGAATTTGGGATAATTACTTTGGGGTAATTATTAATTTGGGGTAATTAATTTGGGATAATTAATTTGGGGGAATTTGGGATAATTAATTTGGGATAATTAATTTGGGGTAATTATTAATTTGGGGTAATTAATTTGGGGTAATTCAGAGTAATTAATTTGGGAAAAGATTGGGATCATTTGGGATAATTAATTTGGGGTAATTATTAATTTGAGATAATTAATTTGGGATCATTTGGCTTAATTAATTTGGGATCGTTCAGGGTCATTTGGAGCTCGATTGGGAGCTCTGGAATGGGCAGAAATTTGGGATGAAAAACGTGGAATTTTGGGATAAAAAAGCAGAATTTTGGGATAAAAAAGTG